CTGCGGCCCCCCTCCCCCCCCCGCCTCCACCAGATGCGGCAGGGGTCCGGGTGAAAACCGGATGCCTGGCAACTGAGATGCCAGAAAGAGACAAATTTTTGCATAAAAATACGGATCCAGCTGCGACCCTCCTGTAAGTTGCTCGCGACCCCCCCAGTTTGAGAAACACTGGACTACACTATTACATTCCTACTGCCAGTCCTTGCCAGTTATACCCACAGGCACCTACCAGATACTCCAGGTTTTTCCCCTCTCCTGTTGCTTTCCATCCCAGCAGCTTTTCTCTCTCTTCCTTCAGAGTCTTCAAACGGGCCTGAAATTTTCCCTGAAGAAACAGACATGAGTTGGGAGGCTTCCCTGTAAGGGCTGAGAGGGGTGTGTGGAACGGGGCATTTTTTCCCCACCAACAAACAAGACATCTGTTGGTTCTAATCTCTGTGTGAGATCAGGGCCACCGAAGAGATGAAATGTTATTAATGGAGACTGGGAGTATGTCATAGTCCGACTTGTACATGAACCGGAGTTGGTAACTTTTCTAATTCCAAAGAGATTTCAATCATCCCCATTCTTTGTTAGTACTTGTGAATGGATTAATGGGGCTGTGCATAACCGGATACTAGAGTCACATAGGGGTGTATCAATAAACCTGTGTTTGAGACGGTTTAATAAAAATGACAAATCCCAGAGGTAAGCAAGGTGTAAATATGGGCTGGGATTTCAGCCCTGAAGGCTGCACTGGTTGGACAGAGCTAGTTTCAGCACTCAGGCAAACCCCATTCGTCTGGTGTGAGCTGCACAGTCCCAGTTTGGTGGGGCTCTGTCCCTGTCTGGTGGGGACTCAACCTTGGACGTGGCTTTGTCTGGCGCAAAAGAGACAAGAGGACACTGAGCATTTGCGGAAAACCATGCCAGTCTAGACGCAGCCTTATTTAGTTACAACATCTCCCGTACCAAGAAGCTTTACAGAGCTGACTGATGAGTCACACCTGTGCTAGGTAACAGTCAGTGAATTTAGCCCGTAATTAAAATCCAAAGTTATTACCCATTACACTGAGCAACAGTTCCCTACCTTGTACTGCTGGACAGCTTCCTGTATGGGAACCACCGTGTGAGCGTGGTGAGCCTGGGATCTGTCACACACCACACAGATGGGGGTTTGATCCTCCTTACAGAACAGCTTCAGCACCTCCTGGTGCTCCCCGCATACTCCGCCCCCTCCTACATCCTTTGCTGCCTGCAAACTCAGTCGCTTGGCTATTTCCACCACGTTTACCAATAGCCTGTTGGGCCGGAGGGGTCCCTGCTGCACAGGATCTCCGCACTGCGGGCAGGAGGCAGCTGGGCCGGGCCCCTCCCAGCACCGGCTGAGGCAGGCCCGGCAGAAATTGTGCCCGCAGTCTGTGATCACCGGGTCCTTAAAATACTGCAGACAGAGGGGACACGTTGCTTCTTCCCGGAGACTTTCCACTGGGCTCTCTGAGGCCATGGCTGCCTCCGAGCTGGAGAACGGGGTCACTTCCGATTTCCTGAGCTCAGGCTCTGCCCTGTCTCCAGCAACACCTAGCTGTTCCCTTTCCTGGAGCTGACTCAGGCAGTTTGCTGGATTGGAAAAAAGACAACAGGAGATATTTCAGCCATGGAAGCTTTGGTGAAAAAAAAAAAGGTCCCATGCTCTGGCCATGGCATTGGCCCATGGGCTGGCGTGAAGGATCCTTGGAGCATCACATGGACCCAGAATCCACCCGGCAGTACTGGTCAGCTTCCAGAACTGTGTGTGGCCTGGGAGCGAGATTGAGGCTTGGGCAGAATTCATTGTGTTTAATGTCTAATTAAAGTTGACAGATAAAATTAGCATTTGAGTATTTTATATGCATCTAGTTACAGACGCACAGAGGGGGAGAGTCAGGCAAAATTTGGATCAGACAATAATTATTCAATGACAGTAGACACTGAGATTTAGCGCTAATAAGTTCTCAAACAGCCTTGTTCTTTCTGTGTGTATATAAGTAAAACTTCCAATTATGATGAATGGAAATATTTTTTCTTTGATTTCTGAGTATACAGGGAAATCGAGGTTCACTAGCATCTAATGATAAAAGCCTGCTCCCTCCAAGTCCAGGGATATTAAATTCACAGGCCAAAAACTTATTTCAGCTGGAACTGATAATCCAAAAGCCTGCCTCCGACACGCACCAAGGCTGCTCTGGCTTTTTGGAGATCGGTGTCAAAAACATTGCCAATATTAACGACTTTATGCATCTCATGAACATAGGAATGGCCAGGTCAGACCAAAGGTCTATCTAGCCCAGTGGCCAATGCCAGGTGTCCCAGAGGGAATTAATACAACAGGGAATCATCAAATGATCCATCCCGTTGTCAATTCCCAGGTTCTGGCAGAGGCCAGGGACACTTTAGTTCTCAGTTTTGCGTATTTCAGGTGTTTGTCAAAGCACCCCTGTGATGAAGTGGGGAATTGTGTTTGTGTGTGGGGGGGGGGGGGGGGGGAATGGCAGAATGCAAACAGTGCTAAGTGCAAGGGTGGCTATCTGACACAGAGATGTCAGGTATGGGGGGGGCAGTTAGAGAGACGGGAGGGAGAGAAGGCCTGGCATGGCTGGGGGCAAGAGGGGGGGGGGGGGTGGG